TCGATAGGATAAAAAAATAATATATTTTTAGAAGACCTCTATATAAATATATGGTTCTATTAATATTATAAATTAATAATTATTTAAAAATATAAACATATATTAGACCATTTAGTGAAATATAATTTTATTGTGCTTTATTTTTTGTTAAAATTTAAATCTAGTTGAGGTTCATCTCAAACTTTTCTTATTGCATCCGAAAATTTCGATGTTGCCACGACTGTAAATCTTTTTTAGTGCATGTGGAATGATTTTTTTGGTACTCACATAATGCTTTTTTGGTTTGTAATGGTTGATTTTATGATACATTTTAAATGAGAAGCAAATTTTTTAATATGATTTCAAGAAATTTCCTATGTTGCTTATATAATTTATTATCTCATTATTATACATAGAATGTTTTTAGTAAAGATATAATAAATAATATTTGATTATTAAGAAACAATGAATATTATATCTAATGAATTCATTTTTACGATAAATCATTGAATTATTAAATTTATTTTACAATGAATCATTTAACCAAAAGAAATATTATAATGAATCATACACATGCATTGTACTTTATGTATAATGAAAAAATATTTTTTATAAGAATTAAATAAATATGAGACATAATTTAGTAAGATACAATAGTTTTGATGCATTCATTGTATTTTATGTACAATAAATTTATTTTTTATGTGAATCAATAAATATGATACATAAATTAGTAAGATACAATGATTTTAATGTAATCAAAATTATCCTCATTAAATTTCAAAATACTCTTTAAATTAAGAAATATTAATTTATTAATTAAATAATACCTCTACAAAATAATAATATTTCATGATCCAAAAGAGTCTTTTAAGAAGATAAAAAGGCATGAGAAAATCACAAAAGTCAGTCTAGTAGCCTCTTTTATCTTTAACAATTTATAGTTTTGTATTGGTGTAAAATTAATACTTAAGAAATAAACTTAATTACTGTTAACTAAACCAATAATTTTTTCGATTAACGAGAATTGTGTTATCTAATATGATTATACATTAATACCCTCTAGAAATAATCGACTGTAATAATAGTAGGGAATAAAGAAGAAAAAAAAGATAATAGAGCGCAAGCGCAAAAGGAAGATAAAAAAAGAAAGGGCAAATAATTGATCCAAAATCCGAAAGAAAGGGTCCCATGAGATCACGGGGAGTGTCTCAATGATAAACACAAGGAAACAAATTCGGTCCCACCTACAAAATGGAAGATCCTTACGAATATTCCCCTAATATTCCTCTCCTCCTTCCTAAATGGATAACATTTCTCTTTCCTTCCACCGCCCATCTTCTCCTTTCCTCATTCGCTATATAAATCCTCTCCGGCCTTCTTTCTTTCTCATATCTCATCCTAAACGTAACGTTTTACTTTTGCAACAATCTCTAATCGAAATTCAAAAAACCATGTTTACAGAAGTTGAACAAGAACAGCTTATTGAGAAACTCGAAATCTTCAAGATCCAAGGCAGAGATAAACGTGGCCGCAAAATTTTGCGCATCATCGGAAAATTCTTTCCTGGTAAGCAATTTTTTTTAATGTATATATATATATATTTCGTTTTCTTGATTATTCCTGTTGAGTTTTTGGTCTGAATTGTGGATTTGTTTTTGTTTGTGGATTATCAGCTAGAAATCTGAGTGTTGAAGTAGTGAACAAGTATTTAGCGGAGAAGATCTTTCCAGAACTTGAGAAAAGGCCGTTCGCCGTGGTGTATGTTCACACCGATGTGGAGAAAAGCGAGAATTTTCCCGGAGTGTCAGCTTTACGATCGTTCTACGATGCGATTCCGGTGAAAGTCCGAGAGAATCTGGAGGCTGTTTACTTTCTTCACCCTGGCCTTCAAGCCAGGCTCTTCCTTGCCACATTTGGTCGCTTCATCTTCAGCGGAGGGTAAGAATGTCAATTCCAAAGATACAATACTTTTTTTTTTTGAAAACCTATTTTAGAATTGACAGGGGAGAAATCTAATTGGGAGTTATGTGCACAGGTTATATGGGAAATTGAGGTATGTGAGCAGGGTTGATTATCTGTGGGAACATGTGAGGAGGAATGAGATTGGGATGCCGGAATTTGTGTACGATCATGATGAAGATCTTGAGTACCGTCCGATGATGGACTATGGCCTGGAGAGTGATCATGCCAGGGTCTATGGTGATGCGCCTGCAGTAGACTCACCTGTTACAATGTACTCCATGAGATGCATCTCATAAGATAATTGGAAGCCTTTTGCAGTCTTTTCGGTTCATAGTTAGATGTGTAGGAACCTTGTGGCTTTCTTCTTTTTTCTTCCTCCATCTGATGAAATTTTTTTGGTCTGTATATACGATTAGATGGAGGTTAGCAACTAGCAAGCACTTCTTTTTCTTCTTCTTCTTGTTATATAGTAATAGTACAAAGGTTATCAACTTTGAAAGCATTGATGGTTTCCAATCTGAAAAATCCTGGAATGATGTTTTTTCCTTCTCTAAGATGAATATACTTCATGAAGAATTTTGTGGTGTTGCTGATCAAGAAAATAAAATGTTGAAGTAGAAGAATCATAAGACTGGGTGAGGATACATAGTGCTTCACCTCTTCCCGTGAATAATATGATTAGCAAATCAAAATCATATTTTGGGTGGGGGGTGATATGAGAACCACATTTCTGGGTAGATATGTCGTGTTGTACAAAATGAAGATAGACTTGTGTAATATGAACAAACCAACAAATTGATCATATTGTTGATAATTTGTTTTATCATAATAAATTATTGTAAAGACGAAAAAGGTGAAACAAATTTATCTGGATTTGATTTGAAAGATAATCTGATTCCGAGTTCAAGTCCTCTTGATCTTGACAAATAGAATCGGAGTGACCAAGGATCGGCTCTTAGATTATATCCTCTCTCGGGTTAGTACGAAGGATTTTGTGCTTGTGGCAAAGCGTGCAAGTGGGTGAATGCATCACCAGCCAAGCTAGTCACTTGGAACGGGATTAGTAATAAGAGTACACGAACTAAGGAATTTGTGCTCTCAACGAAGTGGGTGAACACTTGGAACATAGAGGTATTCACTGATCGAAGTTGAAATTTATATTTGTAAGAATTCTATAGTTCTCCGTTAAAACTGATTCTTCTTCTTTCGTTCTTTCTTTATCTTTTGGTTTCTTGCACTATTGTGTGTTCATCTTTTAGTTTCCTGCCTCATTGATTCATTGTGTATTAAAATAGCATGTTATTGGGATTTCTAGCGGCATACCCGCTTTTCCCCTCTCTGCAGACTCAACCTCATTTATTGTTTTGAAGGCAAAAAAGGACTCAACTACTTGAGACCATGATTTTAATCTTCATAATCAATAACAATCTAGAGGCAGTAAAGAATAATGCGTTGAACTGTAGCATTAGATATATTCCCCAAATGTTAATTTCTGCAGAGAATTTGTTCTGTAGTCTCTCACAAGGTAAAAGGGAAACATGTGAATGTGTTTAGTTATAGCATGAGATACTCCAAATGTTAATTTCTCCGGAGAATTTGTTCTGAAACCTTTTCACAGGATAAGAGGGAAACATGTGAACACTAATGAGTTTGGTGAGAAGAATCAATGGAGTTGTATTAGGCATAGTGCATGTTTTTGGGGCACTCTTTTTCTGGGGCATTAAAGCACAAACTTTTGTGTTAAAAAAGGAATAAAGACATGTAATTTTCAGAGCGTGCAGCTCAACACTAGTGTTTCTGTAGAAGTCCATTCATGTATGTAACCTTCTAGGTTTGCCCCTGCCAAAAAATGGTTGCACTTAACCACAAATGAAAATGTTTAATTCAATTCGAATGACTTCGTCTAGAATTTACTGAAGAAGCAGTGACATACAATATTTTTCACTTTTCAAGATTCAATCTAACACATAAAATGGATCATAAGAGTACATTTAACCATGGCATTGGAGAAAATCTCAGCTGAGCCAGCTAGGAGGTGGCCAGAAAAAATCAGTGTAACCAGGGAAACATGCCATTGGCCCGATAAACGCGTTCTCCATGTCAAATCCCCCAAAGTGAGTAGTCTTTTTCATGTTTTAGTGCATCCCAAAAATCATGGAGATCTCCATCCCCAGCTTTCCTGAATTGACCTGTGAAGTAAATTAAATTTCCTCTACACCCTGGAAAATCTTTAGCAGACACACAGTAGGACCAGTAAGATGCATAGTCTCCGACAAATATGACTTGGTCATTCAAGCTTGTAACTTCCTTCCAACAATGCTCCTCTTCCTCAAGTTAATACACTCTGAATCTAACTGCCATATCGCACTCTGGTTCCTTTGCATTATCATCAGAGGTTGCAGCATGTTGTTCAGCGTAATTTGTTTGCTCTGATGGTTTCTCCGAGTACCTGTCCACTAGAAATAGATCTGCATCCCCTGATGATTTCACCAAGTATGACCGGTGGTTATGAAAGTAACCATTCCTGTTTGGATGAAACAGAGGATCTGTAACTAGACTCACTTTCGAAGAAGAATCCACCATAACCCCTCGCCCATATTGATCAATAGCGAACCATTTCTCCTTATACTTCACCACATCATGATAAAAAGGCTTGTTCAGGTTATGGCCTCTAAGAAGACTATCCATCATATAATTTAAGATAACTATCCCTCTTGTATTACTTGTAAATAAAGACACTTTTCCACTCCCAAGAATAGCAGTTGCTTTCGGATTACGTCCGTCAGAGGATTGGCGGAGAGTGGAAAGATGAACAACTTTGCCAATAAGACAGCGATTTGTATCTGCACGCAACATCAAGGAAGATTTATGCAGTATAGAGACGCGAAATTTGTTCAAATTAATTTCTCTTGGAAACAAGTTTGATGGTGATGAGGAGATAGGAATAGGACTTCCAGTGACCGGGTTCAATAGGCGGAGTTGGCTTTGGCCGTCTCCTTTGAATTGTTCCGCCACAGCTATCAAATAACTGGTGGGTGATGGTGTGGATGATGAAGGTGGAAGTTGTTGAAGATCAAGCCGGAAAACTAATCTTCTGATGTATTTACTATGAGGCTTTTTACTGGGAATGTATTTAGGGACAATTGAGAGTCTTGTATGAGGGGGGAATGGAACTGCGGATCTCCAAGAGGTACAAACAGCACGAAAATGACCAACTTGAAATGAGTATTTGAGGCACTTGCTGATCTTAACAAGTAGTTCTTCAGGAAGATCATCCCATACGGGCCAAGAATATATGTTCTTGGTCTTCTTCTCTTTCATCTTCAGCAAAAATTGCAAGTTAAATGTAGTTGAAGAGGTTGTTTAATAGTAATGGACTTGAATATCACAGTACTTGGAGATGGTTTTAATCTTAATGGTTTGTTTGGGAACTAGTTATTCCAGGAACTATTCTTGGATTAGTTATTCCATCACTATGGTATAAATAGTTGGATAAGTTATTCCAAACATGTTAACCAAACAAGATATCTAAATTTTATCCCAAGACTATTTATTTTTATCCTAGGACTTTTTATTTTTATTCCTCACACCAGGGTCGTTTGGTTGGGAACAAGTTATCCCAGGATTAATTATTCTGGAGTTAGCTATCATGAGATAACTTATTCCACCATGTATATGGGATAACTTATCCCATCATTATGATATACATGGTGGGATAAGTTATCTCAACCATGACAACCAAACAAGAAACAAAAATTTATCCCATCACTATAATTTTCTTATCATATCGCTATTTATAGTCCAGTCCATGACATGACAGTACTGAAGCAGCTAGGTTTTGGTTGAGATAAAAATGGAATAGAGACATGAAACTTTTGGAGTACACAGCTCAACTATACTTTTTTTATGGAAGTCCATTAACACTTTTTTTGAAACGTAAAGCTACCTAGTTTCCTTAATACAGAGGGAATTAATACCTACTATCACATTATCTCAAGAACTATATATCAAGGAGGAGCATCTTTGTTTTATTTTTTACTTAATAATTAAAGGATAGTCATATACCACTAAAACTCATGTCCCACCTTATGAGTTATGAGGAACACTTTTTTTACAACATTTTTTTTCCAGCAAATGCCCCACATTTGAAAAATGAAGAGGGTTAACCATTTCAACTTAATTAAAGGATAATCATATACTCCCTCCGTCCCATTTTATATGTCATATTTTTACTTTGCACTTGCATTAAGAAATAATGTAACTTTACCTTTCTATCCTTATTTAATGTTTTCTTATTTCAACTTTATTAATAAATGTCAAGATTAATTAACTATTCTATCAAGGGTATAATAGGCAAAATATGGTAATTTATGCATAAATTTTATAAAATGACAAGTATTGTGGTTCAACTATTTATAGAAAGGAATGACATATAAAATGGGACGGAGGAAGTATATGCCAGTGTTTCCTAATTGCCCTATATACATTGATAGCAACTCATTTCAACTTTCTCAAATCGAAGGAAATCAGAGTCTCTCGTGTGCGGTCTTCTTGCTTTACTATCAAAGAGACTTGGTGCAACGAAGTGAATGAGATTACTCGGAGTGTTAACACAAATGAGCCCTACAGTGTAAACTCAAATTAGTAGACTTTTAATATGAATATTGAACATACGATGAAAAAACAAAAAAAATTGTTTTTGACTTTATTCCCTTTTTTGGAAAGGTTTGTGATGTTTGTATTTAATCTTTAGCACAAAAAAAGATGCAGTTTGCAGATTACATTAGATAAATTAAACTGTATTTTGTTTGGGGTTTGGTTTGAGTTAATTGAAAGATATAAATTTTTTGTTTTACATTTTTTTTAAAAAATAACTTATTTAATCTTTAATTCTTTATACATGGAGTCTACTATTTTCTATAGGAGTAACTTTCACATATAACAAACATAAAAATCATATTTGTATGTTATAGCTATAGTTTGCATAATTGCGCTTCATAGCAAATTTTATGTTTGATATGGAACTTTTGATTTGTATAATTCGCTAGATACATCTAATTTTATACAAATTATTTAGTTTTATATAAATTCATTTATACATTATAATTTGTATAATAAGATTTGTATTTGTATAATTATAAGTGTATAAGACGAAAATATATATATTTGTATTTGTATATATATTTACTCTCGCTTTATACAAACACAAACACATTTTATATCGAAATGTATAAAATGGCTAATTATACACCGAAAATGGCTAATTGTGTACCGAATCAAATGACAAAAAAAAAGGGATGTTTGCTGCGAATTACAAATAAAATAAACTATGACTATACCATTTCATTTGAATTAATAGTTTGTTATTTCATACAATTTTATATTCTTGTTAGCATGTTGCATTATGCTTAACCCTGAGGGGTAGCTCAGCTGGTAAAGGCCTGGGACAAAGTCCTTCAGGTCGCCGGTTCGAGCCCCAGCAGGGCCACTGGAGGCATTACAAACTGGCCGCGTCTCCAGGGCCCCGTGGAACTAACCGTGGTGGACCCGCCTTGAAACAGCGGGACCCGATGGGTACAGCTAGTCGGGTTCGCAAAGCGATGCCCGGAAACCACGGTAAAAAAAAAATAAAAAAATGTTGCATTATGCTTTTTAGGAGACTAGAGGGTATTAAAATTATCTCATCAAATACGTATTTGTATAATTATTTTATCGAATATTATTTCAATCATATGAATTGAATTTAGAAAACATATTTAAAAAATCGACAATTACTATTTTATTTCAATAATTGATATTTTTTTAGTTAGTCAAATATAACTTTTTGATACCAATTTTCTTTTTAAAAAAAATTATAACTATTTGATTATATCATACTTATATTATCTTTTGTGATCTAATCAAATATCAAAAAATAAAATCAAATTAAATTTATTTTCACTCAAATCAAATAACATTTTTCAAACATTAGTAACCGAAGGTAAATCATGCAACATCAAACTGAGAAACTGATTACAAACCTTAAATAATGTGTACTATTTAGCTTATAAATTATTTTGCACGCAGGGACGCAGTCTCCCAAATCATTTCATTTGGGATGACACGGATGGCCCGGGATCGATCCCCCAATGTCTTCTGAGTCGAGCCTGTCGCATAGGGCTTGTCTAGTGCGGTTTACATTTCCTGTGTGGTTTGCAGGCTATTACACAGTAAGGGTTTACCCACTGCGCACAAAGTGATCACCACAGAATGCTTACCCGAAGGGCAGATGCTATGATAGAGGTTATAGCTACTGCGGGTTATCCTGAATTCCAAAAAATAAAATAAAAAATGAGAAAATAAAAGTTCCCCTAATTGGCAAATCAGAACAGAACCCCAATTCCAAATCTCTCATCTTCATCTGCTCACTGTCACTGTTGCCTCACTGCCGGCGGTGGAGTCTCCGGTAAAATTTTTGCCAATCTCATACTCATCTTCTCTGCTCCTATGTTATTCCGTTCATAAATAATTTCTACATTCGTTTTTGATGCTCGTATTTTTTGTTAGCAGAAAAATTTAGTGAAATTCTTTACAGATTAAGTACTGATGGTATTTCTTAGCTGGACGCGTCCATCTCCTGAAGAGCAGAAAGCATGTATCAACAAGTAATGAATGCCCAGAACTTATTACTGGCTTCGTTCCAATTTATTTGTCTTATCTTGCTTTTTAATCCGTTTAAAAACGATTCTAGACCACTTGGTACATTCTGCGTATTTTAGTTTAAGATTAAACTTTGTGCCAAGTCAAAATCAGATAAACAAATTGAAATAGAGTGAGTATTATTTATTTCCCTTTCTATTGGTTTAATTGAGGATTTCCTCTGTAACAGGTCTGGTTCCTTTAACTATGATAATAGATTTAGAGGAGCTACTGATAAACCTGCTCCTCTACTTAAGCAAGACAGGGAGCTTGCAAAGAATGGTTTCTCTGTTAATTGTGCTCGTGTATTAGTCGGTTCAGGCCGTGAGACTTTTGAGAAGGGAAAAGCTGCCCTTCAAAATTGGAGGTTTGGTATATCAGTTATTTATGCAGAAATATCATGCGATCAATGGTCTGATTATGTACCAAACCAACTTTGCAGGCATTTTGGATTGAATTGGGCATTTGTTGATCCAAAAGCTCCAATTCAAAGTGGGACAAAGTTCTGTGTTTGTGTGAAGGAGTTCTTCCCGTGGCTTATGATGCCTCTACAGGTGGTTTATGTCACCGAGAACAAGAACTCGAAAAAGGGTGCTTCATTTAGTTTTGGCAGTGGAACTCTCCAAGGACATTTGCTGGTCAGTTTGCTCTCCTTTGTTGCAATTGTTTGTTTTGCAATATACCTTTCAACTGTTTAGGTTTTCTGGTTATGATATCATTAGGTTCATTTCACTCTAGCTATATAAAATAAGCATTAAGGATTTAAGATTCTGTTTCAATTACAAGCTGCTAAGCCAGCCATTGCAAAAGGTTAATAATGGCGGTGGTAGTGTCTAACTCTAACACAATGCTTACAAGAATGATAATGTTATGTCCTATTTTCCTTGTTTGAAGTTTTAAGTTTACCATCACATCTTAGACCTATCATTTTTCCTTTATATTGCTGCATGTAAAACTTGACAATATATGAGTTTGTGATACCTAGTGTTTGAGCAGGCTGGTGAAGAACGTTTTTCAATAGCATTGGATGAAAATGATCTAGTTTGGTACGAGATACTTTCCTTCTCGAAGCCTGCACATCTGCTGTCACTCTTTGGATACCCTTATGTTCTTCTCAGGCAAAAATACTTTGCTCATCATTCAGGAATTGCGGTGAAGAAACATTTATCTGCTTAAAACATGTGGGGCTATAACTGTGTGTAAAAAAAATGCTCTTCATTGTAGACAGGAAATCTTAGTTGTAAAAGATTCCCATCCATAGTTATATTGGGTCTTGATTTCATGTTTTTTTCTTTGCATTATATGCACGACCTAGTTACTAATAATGCAATTCTAGTCCTTGTTAAAGAAAATGTAATTGTAGTCCAATAGCTGGATAATCAGTGTG